CCCAGCCGCTCGCTTGGCAAGTTTCGTTCTCTTGGGAAGCACTGGTCTTGACAAAGAGAATCCAGGATGCCAAAAGAGCAACATGTGCAAAGGTTGAAGCGACCTAAATGAACATACCCCACAACGCATCTTCAATATGAAGCGGTTTGGGGATACACACCTAGTCTGGAAACCGTGTCCCGTGATCAAACTCCGACGGCTGAAGGCGATGAGATGGTGAAGTCAGTCTTGAGGGGTGCAGCTACTCTGCTTCGCTACTAGGAGCAAGGACGCTACTAGGGGCTCCTAGCCTTACTACTAGTAGCAAATAGCTACTAGTAGCAAAGGGCATCGCTACTAGGAGCAAGACGCTACTAGTAGCTCCTGGCCTTGCTACTATAGCGATGCCCTTGTTACTACCTGCTTCAGAGTGCAGAGTGAGATTGTATGTCCATGCCTTCTCATAGGCTTCGTTCTTGATGCTCGTTTGGGCTTTGTCCTTGGTTTGATTGCATATTTGTTGGGTAGTTCATGTGTTATTCCTTTCTCAACTCCTTTCAGATGCAGCTTCGAAGAGCACTGGAAAAGGTGGAGCGAAAGGACTCTGCTGAGATACCAATGATTAATTTCCAATGGACATGAGAAGGCTTGCATAGTTTTGCCAGATTCAAGGGTTTGCCTCATTTGTGAAACTTGTGCTCTGGCAGCAGAAGGAGAGACATAAAAGATCGACAAACAGGTCATTGGATCTACATGAAGTTCAGTTCAGCCTTTCAATCCTTTCGACTGATTCTGCCAGCCCAATGTTGCACAGCACCACGCTCAAGCTTTGGAGTTGTGAATTTCGCTCATCACTCACTAGAGCAAAGTGCTCATCATCGTGTTGCCATGGTGTCCTCACTCAGACCAAAGGCAGACCAAGTTCTCAGAAGCACTTTCTCTGAGGATATCTTTTCGCACTGAAAAGCAGTTTTTCCCAAGCAAGTCAGTCTTTTGCTTTGCTACTAGGAGCAAGGACGCTACTAGGGGCTCCTGGCCTTACTACAAGTAGCAAATAGCTACTAGTAGCAAAAGGGCATCGCTACTAGGAGCAAGAAGCCACGGTTGCGTATGCCCACGTCGTCATGTCCGGTCAGAACCGATCGGCCCGAATCCGTGGTTCACTCCGTAACTCTTCTCCGGACTTGTGATGGTTCATATCCGCAGAGGGACAAGAGTACTAGGATCAAAATGACCTGTTTCATCCTGTTTCTAAATTTTTGCAGTACGGGGTGTTTGTAGCGGAATCGCAGGGGAGTTGAACTTTCTTAAAGTCCGCTTTGCAGTTGTTTGTGGACAGGCTCGCGGGCGTGGAGTGAACCGGCAGGTGAGAGGGAACCGACGAGAGGGGAGTGCCTGTGGTCGAAAGGACGATAGCGGTTGCTGTTCAACGAACGTTTGGAGCCAAACAGGCTATGCCTTTGAATATTTTCGAGGTCAAAGAAATTACAATATTCTTGTCCACATAGGTAGGTTTGTAACTACATAGAGTTTTATCTAAGTGGGCATATAGTAGACCTAAACATAGTCGATAGGTAGAGAAAGAGACGGACAGACGAACAGGAATGCCGACTGTCTGTACTCAGTAGCACCTCATTGACTTGGGACTTGTACGACTTTGGAACCCTTTCAGAGCTGCATCATGCATAATGCCCCCGGATCCAGTTGTTTCCGCAGGCAGATCAGCCATTTGCTGCTCGCCAGCGAGCTCGGACGGAGTTGGTAGAGGCCCCTGGTGTTGGCACTTGAAAGCCTTTGGCTTTGGAGCATCCTGGGAATGGATAACATCAATGGCTTGATTGGGCCTCGTGTGGTGCTTGACGACACTGAAGAGGGCTGGGGTTTGGTCAATAGGGTATGACCTGCTGCCTCCTGGGCAGCATGATAAGTCGCTCATCCGGATTTGCTGCTTTTCGCTCTTCAGGTAAATCTCCAGCGGTCTGAGAAGAAGAGCATTGCCAAGGCTGAAAAGGGTATTCTTCAAGTGATGGGTGGGTGTCTCATCGGCTCAAGAGCCTGCGGAACAATGGAAGGATGTGGGTCTTTAGGGATTTCATTTACGCGCCGCTTTTGGCGGCTTAGAGGACTCGAGCTTCCAATAGTCGGTCAACTCCATGCAGACTAGCTTGAGAGGGTTATCAACAATCCTACAACCAGAACCTAGGGCATCCACATTGGCGCAAAGAACCTGCAGTAATCTTGTGGAGCATAACATGAGAATGTCATGCGAATTTCAATCACGGAGTCCCTCATTCTCATTAATATTCATACAACTATATACCTTACAGAGGTGTGATACAGGTGCAGACTACGTAGCATTTCCCACCAAACGCATACAATCAATCAGTGCCTCATGTTTCAAATGCGACAACAGCTGGTTCGACATCTCCCAGGTTGCCCGGAGAGCAGCTGGCACGTTCGGCAATCAACGTGTCTGCAATGCCTCAGCTGCAGGCATAGCCCAGCCGCTGGAGCTGATGTTTTGAGTGGTGAGAGATTTGGTATCAAATAGACCCTCCAAGAAGTGAACCTGCACTTGGCAGGATCAGAAGAACATCAAAGCACCAACCAAGCAAATGGCAAGATCTTTCCTTTGTGCATTCTTTGTTATGCCCCTTTGCGGAAATCGCTGCTGATGTCCCTTCCAGTGATGATCAAAGCCATGCAGACACCGTCTTTTCGTAGGGATTGTGGATGCGGCTGAATTTTTAAATCCAAATAGGATAAATCTTCGCCGAACATACTTGGACCTTGTGTGTTGATACAAGGTTATCCAACCCGCAAAGCTACATGGGAGTGATTGAATACTGGTGCGATGTTGATCTTAGGTGCCAGGCATTGAACCATGGGCTGCGATGCCTTTCGGGAGAGAACCCAGGAAGCACCTTGTGGCAGCGGATTTGACCGGAAAGGAGATGCTCCTCCGTTCCTGCAACTTCAGACAACAAACCACTGGTTGCCATGCGTTTTGTGGGGAGGTGGTCCCAGACAGGTGCGCTCCGGGGTGTGGCCTGCTACCGCCTCACTGTGGGCTATGCCGCCTGCGCCGCGGCGCTCGGAGCAGCGGCGGCCGCCGCAGCGGCGGCCGGACTGGAGGATGCTGGCGAGGTGCGACTCACTGAGTTGGGGATCCGACGTCGGATCCGACTCACGGTTTTCCACTGGGATGATATCCACGCTCCCGGGTTTGGAATGACAGCAGGTTCTTGATTCTATTGAACTTGGAGGTTCTATATAGATCTCTAAATGCAAGATTCTTTCTTCCACCTTTTTGTTCTTAAAAGATGTGAGCAGGTAGGAGCCTGGTGTACACAACTAACAAGATGTTTGCGTTCTGTATGACATTCTTTCGCGAGCCACGCAGCTTAGCATGCCTGTACGTCCAGGTCGCAGCTGCAGCAATGCTCGCTCTCCAGGAAGTACTGGGGTCTGCACATGCAGCTTGAGCTGACCGGGTTTTGATTCCCCCAAGCTCTCAAAGGGATGGCCGCCTCACCAGGGGCCTTGTCCCACTTTGACCTTAGCGGACCCTGGGTTGTTGCCACCTGCACAGCTGCAAATTCAAGAGAGCTTCCGACTTGCTCTGTTTGCAAGCTGCCTGTGGGCAGAATTCAGTTTGGCACTTCCCGCTCCCCCTGAATCGCTGCACTGGCTATTCTGTGATCGCCAGCACATGCACAGAGAATTGTTACGCAAGACAAACCAGAATTGGAGCCTCCACAAAGATAAAATAATACATTCATGTGCAATTCGTGTTAGAGGAAAATTTGGTTGCTTATTGACATACAAGTCTTGTTCGGAGCGATCTCAGGCTGCTACGGCCCAGGAGCCGACTCCAAGCTGATCCTCACAATAACCCTGCCTCGTCTCATTTCATAGGCCTTTAACTTTTGGGCCAACTCCACAAACAGCAACTCCCCCAGAAACCATGAAAGCATGTCTGGGCGGGCTGTTCGTTCTTTCTCACCATGGCGGGGTCAGATGGACATTGTCTTGCGAGATGAGCTTGGCTAAATTCGCAGTGAGCTTGGACAGTTCAGCGGGAGTGCCATCCATGCAGCCGAGCCTGAGGAGCTGCCTGCCATGGTGAACTCCGACGGAATCTTGAATTAGCGCATCATGCACAATGGATGCAATTCGCATTGACTCCTTCCTCGTTTGCAACAGAGAGATGTATCTTTGGAGTCAGCGGGCGCCACAGAAAAATCATGCGGGCTCCACTGTAGTGCTTTTGCCCACTTGCATGGAACACCATTACGTTCACCCTCTCTTGTCAAGGAAAGGGAATAAACACAATTTGTAAAATTTATGCAAATTGTGAAGTTGTAAAGACAGCAACATATACATATATACATACATATGTTAAAAAAGACATGTTCTTGCAGTAGGAAGACCTGCACCTTTTCGTTTTGCTCAAATAAGTACCAAAAAGGGATAACCAGTCTTACCACTGAAGAAAGCCCAAACGATCAGATTATATAACTTGTTCCATCGCCATCCTCTCAGACGTTTGTGTGGGAACTTGAGCCAGTCCTACACGAGGTACCAGAATTGCAAGCTTTCGGGCCAGGGTTCTTCTGGTGCGGAAGAACGTCTGTGCATCGTTTCATAGTTCCGTGTTGATGAAACTCGGGATCCCTTCGTCCTGTCATGCCAAGCAGGTTCCTGACCAACTTCCTGCGGTTTTCGGTTCCTCTTCCAAGACACCACAGACCAGGTGCTTTGCACCTGGTCTTCTCCGTCTTGTCTCGTTGAACAACCTGCCGGGTGTCCTCTGACTTGCGTGGAGAGGACGCAAGAAACACATACTGTAACTGCAGCGAGTTGTTCGATGATCGAGGGTGGAAAGCATGGCTGACATTGCAGTCCGATGTTTCCACATGGTTTTCTTTGATTCCCAACTTGTCATTGCAGAGGTCAGGACAGTTTCTGTGGCTCGTGTGACAGCTGGGAGGAAGTAGGATCAGGGCCGCTAGAACCTGATGCCGCCGCGCACGAGGTTCGGCTTGCCCGATTGCAGGATAAGGTAGAAGGTGCAGTACACAACCGAAAGTGGGCGTGCCACCTCTGGTAAAAGGCAAGACGGATTGAAACTCATTCATTGGGGGTCTCCCCATCTTGATACGCACCCAAGCCGGCTTCTTGCTTGTGAACCATACGTGTGGCCTTTTGAACCGTGAGAGTGTCCCCATTTGTGGTTGCTCAAAGGTCACGGATGGAGCTGGTGCCAAGCGAGGCCAATCTGGGTTGCAGGAATGGATCGACTTGCACATCATATGCTTTTGTGTTACAATATATGTATACTATGAGCGAGGCACAATTCTGATGTTTGGGATCTCGAAGCTCGAAGCCTCACCAAGTTGCTCTCATTCAGAATCTCAATTTCCTTTGATTTTGGCATCAGCCTTTTTGCCTTTGTCAAGCTCCTAAATCTATGTTTTGGATGACAACCGGGATACAAATGGGTGTGTATGGTGTCTATTGAATTGGGGAGACCTCCCAAAGACCTGACCAAAACCCATTGGTTGGGAGGTCTCCCTATTGTTTTGCACACCCAAATGACCAAATGGGTTCCTTCAGTGAGAACTGCCAGATGGGAACTGGATAGAACTGGCCTGAAATCGCTTTGTAGGTCGCGCCAGCTGTGCCGGGACCTCACCAGGGCCGAAAAGGCGCCGCGAAAACACCAGAGCTGCGGCAGTCAGAGACCGAAATCCTTTCATCCCGCCAAAATCATAGGCTGAGACGAGAACGGATAGTTGCTGATGCTTTACATCGATTTATGGAGAGTTGCAGTGTGTTTGATTTGGTGGTGTAGGATTCTTTCAACAGCAGCTGAGTGTCCAGGCCCTTGGTTCCGTCGGATCATTGTGTCCTATGGTCCTTCCTAGAATGCTTTGCCGCGAGGGTCAGAGAACAGCGAAGCAGCACAGCCATGGCAGCTGGTCACCCCTTCCTTGGAAGTTGATGACAAGTACTTCCAAGAATAGCTGGCAAAGGTGCACATGTAATAGCCGGCAGGTAAACCACATGAACATTGACCTGCTCAAGGTGCCATGAGATTCGACATGTAGACCGAGTCCTGGGGAGAAAGGACTCCCGTTCCACAGTTCCACATATCCATTCTACATTGCTGCAGTTGGAGGGCTCGAAGGTATGGCGAAATCAAAGACTGCGTATTTGTGTTACCTTGGATAGGGTAACAACACATCTTCCAAGAAATCCATATCCACCCAAGACTCCTAGTTACCTAGTTTGATGTACAGCGATCTTCCGCAAAGGCCTTTTCATTTTTCCAGTGTCCTCATCAGATGTGCACCAAGGAGCGATGATGCTTCCTTCCAGCTGGCTTCAAGCTGTGCCAATGGCATGAGCAAGCAGGCTGAATGGTTGGTGAACTGAGTCAAACGGTGTGCACAGACCCAGCGAGTCGGCGACAGGATCTGGGGAAGGAGCTGGCAGCAGCTGGGTGGTGGGCTAAGTTGGACGAAAAAAAGACAAAGCTGATAAGCCTTGGAGATGGCCGAATCCTTTTAAATCCGATGCGAAGGCTACTTGGTGTTTTTGATCTCGGAGGTTCATCAACAGGAATCTTCCAAGTGCTGGCGAATCCCTGGGGTTCTGCCTTGAAGCGGAGAAAAACAGGAAAGAGAGAACCCACAATATTTATATAAAAGGTTTCTTTTCCTTTTTGGTTCTGGTCTCTTCTTATCCCTTGGATTTGCTGAGGACTTGGCAGGCACCGAATCCGACCGGCATGCGCTTCACCAGCCGAGGGTTCCGGCATTCGCAACGACACTGAGGGCATGGCGGGTGAGGTCAGGGCGGGTGAGTTTCTGAAGAATAAAAAGAGGGATTTCAGTTGCGTGTTTTCATGGCTGGGAGTGTTTTCTTTAGAGGCCACAACCATGTCTATGCACTGCAAGTGGGCACAGGCAATATTGATTTTGCGATTCTCCCCAACAGACACCTGGGTAAGAGAGAATTCTTTCAACTTTTGTGTAGGAAGGAGTAAGTAAGTAAGTAAGTAAGCAAGTATGTAAGTAAGTAAGTGAGTAAGGAAGGAAGGAAGGAAGCAAACAAGCAAGGAAGCAAGCAAGCAAGCAAGCAAGGCAGTAAGTAAGCAAGTAAGTAAGTAAGTAGTTTTAGTTTTGTGTCATTGTGTTAGCCTACTGGCCTACTGAATCTATCGTTGATAGTCTCCTTCGCTATTTTTTGGTGAGCTCTCGGCCAGTTAGACCTTTGGAAGAATGCCGTGCTTGGAACCAAGTGCCTGGGTGGGAGACTGACCGGTCGAATCTCATCTTCGGAAGATGTGATCCGCAAATCGGGCATTCCTAGAGTACTACGTCACCTGCCTCACTTAAGTCTCAACGGGCATCCGAATCAATCCAGCAATCGCCACCTGGACTTGGCCATGGGAAGCGTGACTGATGGGACTTGCTGGTGCTGTCGCCATTGTGGCTCTCACTAGCTATTGAAGTGCTCTCTCTTCGACTATGACAGTACCTTTGAGCTTCAGAGAGCATGGGGCAGCTTGGCAGATATTGACTCAACATGCCCAGCAAGCTGCGCATCAAACTCTGACGGAACTCCTGTCTCTTTGACCCATGTTCTAGTGACCCAGTCTCCATCAAACTGGAGCTATTTCTTGTTCTAGCCATCTAGTTGGATATGAGGGTCATCCATATAAGACCATATTAGGTCGATGTGTCCTGGTTATTCGACTGGTCAGGTGGTCGGGAATGCCGATGCTCCGCTCCCAGGTGGTGCATGGTGGGACGATTGCAACGTCCGCTGAGATGTCTAAGACATCCTGGAAGCGCTGGCGCTGCGCGGATAGGCTTTCACGAGCTTGTTTGTTCAGAATTGCTTAGTTTTCAATGAAGATGTTTTAACATCGAGAAGGGAGTGTGGAAGTCAGATGGCTGGGAAGATCCTCTACTTCACGCATTCACGTCAGCTCATTCTTCCTGGGCATTCTTGCTTACATCTTTTGATTAAGGGAGCGTGAACCGAAACTGCCCCTACCTGCCAGGAAGCTATCTTCCGCGCATGCATCGGCGCAGGAGCTTGTAAAGCAGCCGTCGAATATTGATTGATTTATGATTTGCACAGCGACAAGAACGGTCCATCTAGGGTCTTTCCCAACATACTTCGGTAGGGGGTTTGCCGAGATTTATGTAACGGTGGGATGTTCGACTTACGCGAAGCATACCTCCGAAGAATACCTTGTGAACATGCTGCTGCTCTAGTCTTCACACTGCCCAGAGCATGATCTCCAAAGCATACATCCCAAGCATCCCGGCCTGGGAATGTTGAATAGAACCAAATGGGTTCTGGAGAGGCAGTCAATTCCCAATATGGAGTTTACGCTGATCTAGGATGCATTAGGAGCAAGAAGTTACTAGTAGCAAAGGGCATCGCTACTAGGAGCAAGGGCATCGCTATTAGTAGCAAGGGCGCTACTAGTAGCTCCTGGCCTTACTACTAGGAGCAAGAGGACGCTACTAAAAGTTGAAACTGCGATCCATGTCCACTAGTTGTGTTATGCCATCCCTGATGGCTTCATGACGACCGCACCCTTGTTCACGGTCAAATGTGGTTTGATGTGGGGGGGCACTGTGGGCACCGTGGGAAGCGACCGTGTGGCACCACGGAATGGGTTCCAAGTTTTTGGGACCTGATGTGTCATTTGGGGGATGAAGAAGCTGACCGAATGACACGTGTTCACATTTTGGTGTGAGCCGTGTGAACAGTGTGAACCGGGTGAACGACTAATGCATGGCTAGTGCACGACTAGTGACGAGTGCATGACCCATACCCAGAGCATCCTAGTGCCTTTTGGCCTGATGGCCAAGGAACCAAACTGAAATATGAAAGGCTAGGAACCAAAGTTTACCAAACATGTAGGAACCAAATCATTAAGGCTCAGGCTTGTTCAAGGAAGCTCCCGCCCTCCTGAGGGTCTAGAAGAAGCCTGGGCCCTTCTGCGTGCGGCCTACCCTCCCCCCCTGGCCGCAGGGACGCCTTGTAGGCCTTCTCGGTGGTCTTTGCAGTCTGGGTCTCATCCGGCCTGAGCTGAAAATACATGGCAACTACCGTAAGTCTTGGGGATTGCCAACCCGAACTTGGCATCCACTCGAACTGTTAGAGAGATCTGGACTCTGACCTTTCACAGTGGCGGTCACTGTCGGCTCTGACCTGCATGTGAGAAAGCGTGATCTTCCACCAGTTGCAGCTGGTCCATACTCTACAAGAAGAGAAGGCTCCATGGACCATCTCAGAGGGTGCATCTCAAAATATGGCATTGCCCGCATTGCACCCCAAAGCAAGGAGTTGATTTGCTTTTCCTTCCATCTGAAAGGTCTGAGGGGCTGCAAAAGGTCTGTGTCTTGAGACACCCTGCCATGAAGCAACCCCCAATGAGTCAAGGTTTTCTTTGGGAGAAGTAACAAGAAGCTACTAGGGGCTCCTGGCCTTACTACTAGGAGCAAGGACGCTACTAGGGGCTCCTGGCATCGCTACTAGGAGCATTCTTACTAGCAACAAGTATTGGTCAGGCCTCGTGCATGTGACACCCAGGTGGTCACCGTACGCCTGCTGCAGCAGTGAACCTGCTCGCACGCCGGGGGCCTTGGAGGACGCCCATGCAGCGGTTGATTTGGACAGCGTTAGAAGGTTTGATCGCAACGGTTTGGGGGAATAGTGGCTTTTCGTTGGGCCGATTTCCAAGATCAGGCTCTCTCTGATCTCTCTTTGGTTGAGTGCGCGAGGTGTGTCTCAACAACATGACATTGTTTTGGACTGGCTGCTCCAGGTTAGTCTCACCGGTCATGAGGGTGTTCCTCCGTTTCAGAGTGTTTCAAACAACTCCAACCCAGGCTATTTGGGTGTGTTTCAGAATGTCAAGTATGATGTCAAGCGTGCCCATTGGGCCAGGCCACCCCTTGCTGCGCTCAAGGCTCTCCTTCCTTTCTTTCCCATCAGCTACGTTTTCAGGGCCTCTTTTTTTGAGGTGGCAGTGGAGCAGCCGCCGATGTGCACACCCTCCGAATGGTGCTGAATGAGTGGACCTCAGACAGAGACAGGGAGAGAGAGAGAGAGAGTGAGTGAGTGAGTGAGAGAGAGAGAGAACGGGGGGGGAAGGGACGGAAAGGGGGAAGTCGCACTCCTGGGAGATCATATTCCATTTTGGCACTTCACTTGAATATGGCAGAATTGGTTGAACATCGACTTCTGTGTCAAGTTCTCATACCCTGGCCGCGCCTTGGCCTACCAGGTGCATTGGTTGTGTCTTCGGCCAGGACTCTGACTTGTGGGAAGCACCAGAAAAAGATGGAGCATTTGCTTGTACAGCCGGGGCACTGAGATGAAGCTGGTCGTCCTGATGTCGCAATACCAAAAGGGAGGTCGTGGAAAGTGGAAGCCCTCTAATAGCGTCCTTGCTCCTAGTAGCGATGCCCTTTGCTCCTAATAGCTTCTTGTTCCTAGTAGCGATGCCAGGAACCCCTAATGGCGCCCTTGCTCCTAGTAGCGATGCCCTCTAATTACAAAACCATGCAATCTGAATCTGGGTTGGATTTCACCCTACCGCCCGGTCTGGCTTGTGATCAAGTGAGTTTGCTAGACATGCGACCAATTTTTGCATCTCTTCGTTTGGATGCACGGACAAGCAGCCCTTCAGCCAGCTCTTCAGTATTTTTTACGATACTCTATGCATTTGTATGCTTTCATGCAGCGATCGGATATGTGTGCGATTGATCGCGCTCAAAATAGAAGACATAACATGGATTTTAGTGCAGTGCAGATCTTTTATGGGAGTCATGTTGGGTGTCCAATCTGCAAATCGCCAGATCAGATCCCCTAATTATACTGTATCCTCAGACGACACCTTCAAATCACAGCTAGTGCACTGAAAATAGCCAAGGCTCCGGTTACGTCACCTTTAAGCTTTCAAAGCCTGGAGAAGAGTTCTTCGTGGGGTTGCCGAGTGAAGAGTTCCATTCATAGTTGTGCGGAGTTGGAGGGCAGGAGGATTTGGCCGTGCAGGGCCTCCAGAAACCTGTACCTGTCCCCACTGAACTGAGCGCTGTCTTCCCTTCTCTGAAGTGAAGGCTCATGGACCAACGAAAGCATGGAATGGAGTCCGCAGCAAACGAGATGCCGAGCACCCTTTCGGTCCAACAAAAAATGGAATCCGGTGGAACATGCCATGTTGAGAGGCCAATGAGCAGCTCCACGAACAAGAACTCGGTGATACAACCCCAAGCCTGGGGATCAAACCTGGTGGGAAAGTCCTGCCATTCGACTAAACTTTTGGGGGCTGTGTAGTTTGGACAATTGCTGAAGACCGTGGATTGAATGACACTGCTTGTATATAGGGTTGAAGTATGATTGGAGTTTGGAGGTCCAGAAACAAGGTAACCTTTCCAAGTCGAGCTCGTTTCGCCGATCAAGGTCGCCTCGCCGAATCGAGGAAGGGTGACGAACGACTGTGAGTGCTGTCACATCGGGGCTAGCCCAGTCTTCAGCCTCAACCATTCTACCAGGCGCTAATCATTTCTCCGCCATTTTGCACTGGAACTCTTGATTTCGCCAGATCGCAACCATATTTGGACGCTTTTAGGTGGAGGCCATCGCAAGTAGGCTGGAGGCCATCGCTACTAGTAACAAGAAGCTACGAGTAACAAAAGACATCAAAAGACAATCTAGGAAAAGAATGGAGTATCAATGGGGATCTCTTGAGACCAACCAAGCCCAACCATCCCCCACTGGCAACTTGCGAAGGACACGAGGATTGCGACCTTGGGGCCCTGTACAGTGAACTTGTCCGACGAGGTCTCCACACCGAGGCCATAGATGTCTCTCTGGGGCCGCGAGTCAGGCGTGAAGGTCTACCAGTAGCAAACCCATCAAAATACCAGTGGTACTTATATAGGAGTAACCAGGGATTATATATATATTATATAAATAAATAACAAAAACATATATATATATAATATATATAAATAGATATAATATATAATTATAATATATATATATATAATGTAGAGGTTGGAGACATGCCTCACAGTGGCGTGTCCAGAAGCCAGACGAGTTATATAAAGGGAGCATAAAAGGATATAAAGGGGACCGCACATGTTTTTGATCATTTCTCAATTTCTCGCAACTTTGGTCTTTGGTCCACAAGTTGGAGGTCCCACATAACATGTGATGCAGAAGTCTTTGAAATATATAGAGGTCCAAGATCAAGA